GCTGCGTTTTTTTTTTTTCTTTTTTTTTGCAGCCCTATATGCAAACTGTCACTTCAGGTTAGCACAGGACCTGATGTAGCTCATTAGCATGAGCTGTATCTAATATGCTTAAAACCTCTAATTATTTATTATGCCCTAATTGGCAGCCCGAGAAATGTCTGCAAAGTGATAAGTGTTCATCCCAAGACGCCTTTCGAGAAGAATTCAGGAGTGTCCCTGGTCATTTTTAACTCTTCGTTGGGGCACAGACTTTATTCCTCTTGTAGCCGATACAACGCTAAGAAAACTCGTACAACTTGCTATCCCGAGGACTAGCCTCCCTCCACCCTGGGAAGGATGGGCAACTATTACTCACGAACACGGTTTAATGCTCAAAGTCCTTCTTGCTGTAAAGGGACGCTTAGGAAGAGACGTTAAAGTTTGTCAAGTATGCAAAAGTGTAGGCAGATGCTCCTTGAAAATTATTTACCCGAAGGAACAGCCATCAGGGGAAAATCGCTTTCCTGCCTTCTGAAAGTAGCAAAGTTTTGAAAATTATATTCATATAGAAACTGTTTCAAAATAAGTTTACCTCTCGGGGGTCGCCCCTCCCCCCGCCCCCCGCCAATCGCCTTTTTTTTTTTTTCCCTTCCAAGTCTATTTTATGTTTCTTCGGGTTGTGCCAACTAGTTATTTATCTTTATTCTTCCTCTCTTTCTTTTCATTCATTATTCTCTCTCCCTCCTTTTTTTTTTTTCCCCTTCCTTGTGTGTGTGGCTTCTCGGTCTGATCTGTAGCTTGTTACCACCCACTGCACGCTCTCTCCTGCAGCCGAGGTGTTTCTATACAAACTTCAGCGTCCAGTTGTCATATTAATTATTACACTGAGTAATGACTGAAATAGTCAAAATAAGGGGAGACTCAAGAGAGCTTTTTCTTGCTGCTCAAAGATTCAGCAAAGAAGCCTTGCAACAAAGCACTAATTGGTCCCCAGAAATACTCTGACAAGGCATGGAAGATAGGTTTCATAAAGCCCAGCAATTGTGAAGGGGGAAAAGATCCTTGAATAGACCCCACGCTTCTTTTCTAAACTCTCTTGCTGAGCAAAAAATGGACTGCTTCTTGAATACTGGACTGATCTTGAATGCTATACCCAGCAGAGAAAAAAATGCACCATTTATTGTAAGTTTTTTTTCCAGCTATTCATGTGTTCTATGTGGAGAATAAGCTGGTTTTGTTTACCATGAAAGACCTTTTACTTTATTTTCACTCTTGGGGGGGAAGCTGGAAAGGGGAGGGGGAGGGCGAGGGGAGGGAGAGAAACACATGTGCCCAAATCCAGACGAGCTGCCTACTGTAACAAAATGGAGTGTAACAAATCCTACAGAAGTCCCGAATGTATCGATTCTTTGAAGATCTATATAGATTAACGACTTTCGTTCTGCTTTTCCAAGACGGCATTTAATCATAACGTAAATGGCCTTTAAAAAAGAAAAGGGGGAGGAAGGCATACCAAAGTTTAAAAAAAAAAAAAAAAAAGGCAAGGACTTCAAAAGACCTCATGAGTGTTGCTACAATTTAGGCACACAAAAAAGCCACTATAAAATAATGACAGTTCAAGATTAAAAAAAAAAAAAAGAAAGAAAAAAGAAGGGGAAAAAAAGCCCAATGAAAAGGGCAAGGGCTATTTATCATTATGTTAGAATTAAGAATTTCGAAGTGCAGGTGCAGCACTGTGCATACGAGTGGGTGGAGGCGGGGGACCTTGGAACAATATTTATTATCTATAAATCTGGCGGCCCCAGCCCCCTGACCCTGCGCAGTGAGCAGACAGGGGAGCTGGCAAGATTGGCATTACTTTGGACAACGCGAGGGGTGAGTTTGTTCCCCGGCGGCGGCGGATGGCGAGGGACGTGCTGGGCGAAGGGAGGAAAAGGCTCTGCCCTCCCCCCTCACCCCCCCGGGCCCCGGAGCCGGGGGAGCCGAGCGGGGACAGAGCCACGGAGGCAAAATTACATGCGAGTTACACTCGGTGACCTCTGGGACTCGCGTCTTTTGCCTTTTTAAGAGCCCTTTGGGACTCGAGAAGGAGGGACCCAGAAACCCCAGTCTCGTTCTGCCATTTCGGGGAAAAAGGGCAGGAATTTCCCCACGTGGTGTTCCCAGGCCAGTTCTGGTAGTGGGCTGCTCCAGCAGAATTACTCTGTTTAAATACGTATATAGTTTACAGGGCTGCAATTATTTTGATATTTCCGTTGCCGCTTCCCAAAGCACGGGGATGCGAATCGCAGGGCTGGTTCATTACTGTTCTCTCACTCCTGCGATGTCACAATGCGGAGCTGATGATGCAACAACTGTTTCCAGTGCAGAGAATTCTGATGTCAGACAAGGGATGTTGAACAAACCATCCAGAAGACTTGGAACTGAAGAGGGAGAGCTCCCTACACAGAAAATAAAAACGAATATTTCATCCTGTTTAGGTCTGGCTGTCCTGCCCAAGAGAGATTCAAATAATTTAATATGTTTCACATGCAATGAGACAGGAGGCTAAAAATCAGAAAGAAACTCCGTGACCAGCAAAGAGGGCCCTGAAATAAGTGTGATAGAGGTTAGACCAGACAGAACTACTTCACCTTTTTCATCATACATGTGCATTAAAATCTGTCACGTTAAAAATTGCTAAAAGACTAGTTAGCAGGTGCACATTAGGGTTCTGCCATACAACGTTGCTGCTTATCACTGTTTAAACTCACATGCCCAGCCAGGGTCAGCGGTCCAGTGGCAGATGAGAAGAGATCTCTACAGCTCCAGGCTGCCGTAGTTGAGGCCAGCAGCAGAGCAGGGTTTATTTTTGCGCTCATTTCCACTGGAACCTGAACAGGGACTGTGCAGGTCCCCTCCTTCCATGCTTTAGGGCTGGTGCAAGCACCAGGGATGAAAGCTGCTCGCCAGGGACTTCCTAGAGCCATAATCTCACCCATGGCAAGACTGTCGCACCATGGTTCTGCTTTATTTAGGAGGTTAGAGAGCGCACCCCTCTGAGTTTTCAAAGTGAAGAGGTGCAGAGTGAGGTGGAGACGAGACAGAGCTGAAGGTAGAAAATGTGTTAAAGTTTGCACAGATATGTGGATATGTGAAAGGCAAGGAAAGGCAAAGGGAGAGAAGGCCATGCCGGGGTCCTCACTGCTGCTCATGCCAAGAGCAGGGCCACCAGCATGCCCCGGTGCTGAGCCTGGCCATGTCTCCCAGGCTGCCCACCCCCCCCGCAGCCCCAAGGGACGCTGTGACCACCAAGTCATGCCAGCCTCAAGCTCTCAGCACCTCAGCGCTGCTTTTCCACATTTGGCCCCAAGCCACAAGCGAGACTTCACCTGGCAGCAGG